ATAAGAAACCTGCTGAGAAGATGATTACAAGACAAACTTCGAAGAAAAAGAGCAATGAGGAGACTGCCAATCTAGTGATCAACGATCCTAGAGCCTACAATCAAGCAATGAAGACCAAGGATAACGACCTATGGACTGTTGCGATTAAGTCCGAACTTGACTCATTAAAGCAGAACGGCACGTGGAAAACAGTGATGAAGACAGAAGACATGAAAATACTGAGTACCAAATGGGTATTTAAGACCAAGACCAACGCACAAGGTGGAATAGAAAGAAACAAAGCAAGAATGGTTGCATGCGGAAATGGAACAAGTCTTTGGTGAGAATTTCACGCTTACAAATGCGCCTGTCATGGAAATGATCACTGCCAAAGTGATATTGGCAATGGCGCAACACTGGAAGGTACCAGCTAGACACGGAGATAAGCCTAATGCTTACGTCAAAGCATCCGCTGAAAAAGAATTCCCCATTTGTATTAAGATTCCACAAGGGATGGAGATACGGGATCAAGTATTGAAGGAGTTGGGTGTGAATTCTGTATATGAAATCGTATTGTTACTACTTCAAAGCCTTTACGGCTTGAAACAAGCCGGTGGAATCGGAAAATTGATCGATTTGGGATTGAAGCAATCGATTGTTGAATTATGTTTATTTTATGAGAAGGATGATCGTGGAATCTTACTCGTTGTAATTTCGTGGATGATCTATTGGTCACTAGGACCAATGACGACTTAGTGAACGAGCTGTTTGATTCACTGAAAAACTTGCAAATCAAGGATTTGGGAGAAGCTAAGAAGTTCTTGGGAATAAGAATCATCAAACACGAAGAAGATTACTTTCTTGGTCAAGAAAACCTTATTGATGACCTTTTAAATCAATATGGAATGAATGAAGCAAAAATGAAAAGAATTCCGATTGGTCCTAGACATTTATATGACAAATCCTGCCTTAAATTGCACGATTCAAAGAAGTTCAGGTCACTAGCGGGAAGTTTGTTGTGGATTTCGCGTTACACGCGTCCAGACTTGTCATTTGCCGATCGAGAAGGGCCCATGATCCAAGGGAACAAGACTTACAACTTGGTGAAAGAATTCTACGATATTTAAAGGGAACAAAATGTTTGAAGTTGAAGATGAGAAATCAAGAGCGAACTGAAGACTTACCTGATGGTTTTATCGCCGGCTACAGCTATGCAGACTTCGCTGCTGACACTGAGGACCGCGAATCCATGATTGGAGTAGTGATATTTGTAGGAGGGTGTGATGTTGAATGGATATGTCGAAAACAAGCATCAGTGTCGCAATCAACGGCAGAGTTTGAATTCATAACGGCATCAGTCGTAGCAACCGAATTACATGGACATTACAATATGTTGGATGAAGTTGGCATTTAAGGGATCCATAACTGGTTTCTCTTTGTCGATAACCAAGCAGCTACAGTGCAATTGAAAGAAGAAAGTTCGGCATCTAACATCAAGCATGTCGATATACGCTATAAATATGTACAAGAACGTATCAGAAACGGAATGTTGGAGGTGAAATACGTACAGTGTTGGAGGTGAAATACGTACAGTGTGAAGAAATGAAAGCCGATTTGATGACAAAGGCTTTGTCGGCGACTAAACTTGGAGACCTCCGCGCGCTTTCTGGTCTCGTGGATGATGTACAGCACACCGAGGGAGGAGTATTGAAAACAAGTTAAGTCTCCACCTAAGATAACCAGGAGGAGTTATGAAACTCCCAACCATCTGTATAACTACATAGCTACAAGCAGAATACATTAACTTGTAAACTCACCTTCTAACCACCAGGTCCTTCCTTCCTATCTGTCATTTACAGCACTTTGCACAGAAGTAGCGTATTGGGCCACCGATTTAGTTCAACAAGCTACCGTCGGTCCCTGTTCGAGTTTAAGAATGAAAAAGAGTGAGTTGTAGAATACGATGCATGTATTTATACCGGGTATGATACATCGAAGTTTTGTCCAAAATCCAATAATACGTACGCACACCGTTACAGCAGCAGGGCTGCCGTAGCTTTGCGCTTAGAGGAAGTGTAAGTTAAGTCAGCGACCTTTCGTTCTATACTTAGAACAAGTATGAGTTCAGCGGATCGCAATCCGCTTACTCCAGGAGTAATTACAACCTGAACCCAAGGCTATTTAACTCTTCCGTATAAATCCAAAACTGGTTTTATTTATTTTTATCTTCGTCAAAGCCGCCTAATTTTAAATGCAGAGATTTTTCTAAATATGTATAGAAAAATCTAAATAAATGTAAAACTTCTGGCTGTCCATCCCCGTACCGTATTTTTGTTTGGGTGTGGTCACACCATGCCCATCTGGTGTGACACACACCCCTGTTACCAGGGTATGTGTAACCCCGTTACAGTTACGCCCTCTACTTTTGGTCATCGAAATTACGTCGCATACTAATACAGTAACAGCACTCTCCCCCTACCGCACAAAACTATTGCACAATCCATGAGCATTTATATCTCATCCCTATATCGCTTTTTCAAAGATATGGCTCGTGGCCCTTGATGTCGACGTCCGAAGGCCTTATTCAGTGTAATGGCGGTCAAAGTGAGTCACCAAAGTCTGGTACAACACCTGAATATTCACCGCAGACCACACGGTCGTGCCTTTTCCCGTTCACGTGGACCTCTATATGGTTCAAGCATTCTTTAGACTGCGTCTCACCCTTGCACGAGTTGTGCTGATCGTGAACATACCCTGGTATGAACCCCGCTACAGCACTCCAGCTCTTTACTATAAACTCAAACTGCGTCAGGAAGTCGATATTACTCGTCTACAGGCGCAAGTGTGGCAGCAGCTTTCGCCATGGTCGCTTCCAACTAATAAACGATCTGATTATTGACTCTATTCATTGGAAACCGCTAGCTTCAGCGCTTAGGCACTTATGTGTTTGGGCCGTTGGCTCAACAGAGGGTCTCGTTAGTGCCTTTCTCTTAAGATATACCACTTACAACTTGCTCAGTAGCAATTTGAGTAATCAGTGCTCTATGTGAGGGATGTACCTAGAAGACCTCTTCTTGTGATAATCGGCAGTGTGCATGATTTATTTCGAGCGCTTAGTGGAGGAGGCACGTTAGCATCCATTTTACAACCGGTAAAACCAATATCTGTAAATTTGGTGTCAGATTGAAGCATAGCTTACTGTTTGGCCTCGTGGAATACAAAGCAAAACGTCGATATCGAGGTAAGCGCTGCTTATCATCGGCTTGTGCTTTATCCAGCCTGCACATACCCGAGAATAGCCCGATAGCTGTCGAGCTATACAGAAGGCCAGGTAGCGGAAAGCGCGCTACGACAAATACCCTTTCTTTTAATATGGGTAGGTATGGAAGGAAATTTGCCAAGTTGTAAGCTTATATAAATTCGCAGCAATTATACCAATACTGATCCCTGATTTAAGAAATGATGGTATCTTTTACCTTTTACCAGGTATTGCTTGCCCCTTTGTTGATGACACCGGCCAATAGTCAATTAAACATCGAAGTGGGATCGTACGTGCAAATAGAGCACAGTCAATCGAGAACACACGCACGTCTCTGTCTCGCGCGAGCTTTTGCAGCCTTAAATATGCTTGGTTTCCACGAGACTTAATATGCGACCGATTTGGTCATTGGCTCTTTGCAGAATTTGATCAGTCGTCCGGATCAGATTGTGTACGATAACCGGTGCAAATTAGATTGCTGGTCTAGAGCAGAACGTGGACACTACATAGGACTGCTAATGTTGCTCTTTTGCGCGTGAATAGCGGCTCGTCTGTTAAGGTCTTTAGTGAGCTCTAAATTGTTCGTATTCGTTAAAAATATTATGAATTCTACTCAATTTTTATTAGGTGACGGCCGTTAAGATCTAGTGTCGCGAGGATGCAACTCAATATAGAGATCAATAGAATCCGAATTGGTGGATAAGATGACAGCGTTTAGAAAATCCTTGTCACCCAGAAATAATATTTGTGTTTTGTATCTGAATGCTGATTTTGCTTATCTTGTTTTCGAGACATAGTGTCGCGCGATTGCCGTATGATGCTCGGTCTCTTCGTAATGCAGCCATGAATTGTACCGCAGCCAAGATCAAATCAGCACGTCGATCAACCGTCATCCTTCTTCACAGAGACCGAATCCTCTCAGTTGAGATTGTCAAGGGTTCAAGTGATTAAAATAAACTTGTATCAAGGGTAAAGCTAATTCTGAAAAAGCGTGCACCGCGTTGTTGGTGTCAGTTCTTGAAGTGAGGTCAAGTCGCACCAGCTCCGCTGAGAATTCTCCATTACGCAACAATATGTGGGTTGTCCGCTGTTGACAAATCCAACCTGGTCCCAAGGAGGTAAACAAAGTTCGCCAGAACTGTGCGGTAACGCTGAGATCACATTTGAGAGGCAAGATCCAAGTTGGCGATAATCGTATTGGCTATAACTCTTACGAAACAGTACCACTCGGTGGCATGATGAGCCATCTTGCTGCGACGGCCAAATTGTCTGCAGCAGTGCTGCCGAATCTGTTTGTCTTAGAGGAAGCTAAGCTAAGGTCGGTGGCCTTCGTTCTATACTTTAAAACCAACACGAGTGAAGCGCATCAAAATTCGCTTACTCCAAGAGTAACCACAACCCTAATCCAAATAAACGCTTCCTCACAAAATGAAAATTGTTTTTCTTTGGTTTATTTGCGGCAAAGCCGATTATATCTAAATCTATAGGTTCTCCTTATTAAATAGTAAAACCTAGTTAAACTGCATAACTACTGGCAGTCCAGCCACGTAGTGGCTTCTTGTTATGGTGTATCCACACCATTGTGTGGCCACATCATCTGGTGTGACCAACCACTTCTTATCAGGGTACGTGTAATTCCGTTACAATGTCGATAATATTGGAAGGCAAAAATCTTTCTAATGGACTGCCAGCACGCTGCGGAACCGCGGGTTGCCAAAGCATACAGCAATAATTTTACTCGCTTAAACACTGAACGCTTGCGCACATAACCGTTCACCCATAACTAGTTATCTGGTACTTAGTTAAACTTGGTCAGAAGGCATGCATGCAGGGATTCCGAACAACAGGGAGCGCAGCATGGTGCTCCTACATGATGAGAGACATGTTGCATGAAGCACAAATGTGCTGTGTCATCCAGAAAGCTGGATCCTATTTGGTAATTTGTACTGGTTACGAGACCGACGTGTCTTTGTCTATGGAAGTGGGTCGCGTAAGCTGTGCTGAGAATTTTCCGCGAGAGCTGAAGCTCAAGCTTTTCGAATTCCGAGCATGGTACACCCTAGTTCAGGTTCTAATCTCATTACACCCTTGATTGCATAAATCAGGTAGAGGCTTCAATAGTAACAGTTTTAGGAGCTTTCGGGGCTTTGGGCATAAAGCTCTAGGAACCACTATCTCATTTTAACCCAGTTGCAAAGTTGCCTTCAAGTCGTAAAACCGTTCTTCTTCCCTCCAAATCAGGACTGATGTTTTCCCTCCACCTAGTGAATTGCTTTCTCATCGCAAAAGCGTGTGTGTTGTGTTCGAGAGACTGTCATATCAGTGTTCTCTTACACCCGATCGTAATGTACACTGCGGAGTTGAAATTTTTCGTTTTCTCCATGATTTATGGCAATAGTTATCGAAAAAATCAAGGGCGCCCTACAGGCCCCCTTTTCTATGCTATAACAAGCACATTCCAACCAAATGGCTGCGCAAAATGCTGTCACTATCACGAATCATGCACAATTTGTCACTTACCGCTAGCATTTTTGATGCGGAAAGTAGTCGCTGCTTTAGCGTTTTGAATTCAAACGGATCGCACGGGACGTGCGTTCATCTAATCTAGTGCTTTCAAGCAGTATTCTTCGTTAAGAAAGGACTTGTTGTCAAGAAAGCTCGACGTTTAAGTCAAAAGTTTTATCGATATCTTTTTAGATTGGAAAATCGTTTAAAATGCAATGCAAAATATGATGTTCCGTTTGCTATGTGCAGTACATCACACACGCTCGCTTTCGATGACTAGTTTGTCGTCATTAGCTACACGACCAAACAAATGAAATGTCTTAGTGATTGGATCCATTTGCTTAACAATTCTCATTAACATTCGTCTTGACATTGTCGAGCAGGTCCGGGGCCGTGAAATTATAAGTCACGAAAATATCCGAGAAAATCTGACTATCCCAATAATCTCCGCTTGTCTAAAAGGATCTTGCACATGTAATGCCATGATACTCGTCAAGCAGAAGAAGTCGTGTAAAAAGTGATTAATAAACCACAAGAATATTCATTCTTGTCCGTACTGATCGTGGTTCTCTGCTTAGACCATATCCCTGAGAAACAGTCGTGACAGAAAATAACCCGCCGTTCTGCCTCTCACATTTCAAGCCGCTTTATATAGAACACCCTTTGGATAAGTGTGTACATTAAAGCTGTCTATCTACTTGAAGCGGTCGAGCCGTCATCTATTGTCTTGCTGATTAGGTTTTTCAAGTAGACTTGGTCCGCCGTGGCGGGGAGGGGCAAACAAGCCGCAGGATTCCAGCACTTACGTAGTGTGAATTACTTGTAGCAAGTACAAGCTTTCGACAAAATTTCGACCGATTTCAGTAAACATGCTTGCAGCAAGAGCTGCAGCAAATCGGAAGGTAGCAGATGCAAGACGGGCAAGAGAGGCTTTAGAATGGAATACAGTGCGTGACCATACGCCTTTAGAAGAGCACAGTGAGATCACATCTTCGGCAAATCATAACGAAGGCAAGCCTGAAAAAGCGGTCACTTTAGACCAAACAATACCATTGGTGACAGCACAAACGTCTACGTTACCATCTGAAGATGGAAAATCTAGTGTGAGCGAAAAAGCTGATCTGACAACAACGCCCGAAAATGACGAAAATGACATTATTCATAGAATTTCTTTAGTTGGTCTTACGGGTGCTCGACTGCATTATGTGATGCTTTCGAATATCGCCATTGCAACGCTTAACAACACGTGGTTTAACTCCATTGTGATGTTATGTATCTCATGGGCCTCATTATCGGTTGGGCTTCAGACTTACCCAGTGCTTGGAGAAAGTGTTATTCTTAACAATATGGATTTCTTTGTTCTCGCTGTATTTATTCTTGAAGCATGCATCAAGATTTTGGCTGAAGGACTTTATCCATGGCGATTCTTTACCGGAAAAGAAATGCGATGGAATTGTTTTGACTTTGCGATTATAATCATGAGCTTGCCGATATGGGGCTCGGCTCTTGGAGGCAGTAGTATCGCCATTCTTCGTATGCTTCGACTCATGAGGATTATGAAACTTGTGAAACGTATTCCACAGCTTTATATGATTGTAATGGGGCTTATTGGTGGTTTGAAATCCATTGGCTATATCATGTTGCTACTTTTCCTTGTTTTTTACCTCTACGCCATCTCTGGAATGTACGCTTGGCAAGATAATGACACTTTTCATTTTCGAAGTGTACCAATTGCTATGATTACCCTTTTTCGGATGAGCACGCTTGAGAACTGGTCAGCCGTACGTACATTAGATACCTTTCTGCTCGTGAGATTTCATTTGCTTACTCTTTATCTTGTAGATTATGGATATTAACTACTTTGGATGTGATCGCTTTGCTGGAGGATATTATTCTACTGATCCAGCTGCTGCCGCAAGCTTTCAATATTGCAACGCTACTCGAGTATACGGTGCCAATGTGACCGAAAGCTCATTGGCATCGCAACGTGCTATGAACCAGGTCGTTGCTTCTTTATATTTTATCACGTTTATTCTTATCTCTGCATTTGTCATGCTTTCGCTCTTCATTGGTGCCATCACTATGAGCATGACGCAAAGTATGGAAAATATGAAGAAAGCACAGGAAGAAGCAGAGACGAAAAAACGAGCTGAAAAAGCACGTAAACGGGCTTTGGAAGCAGAGCAACGACTTCGAGAAGCTGAGAAATTACGGGCAGCTGGTGTAGCAAAAGAAGGAAGCGGATTTAACATTGTCAAAACGGGAAAACTTTCTGCAGCTGAGCGGAGAGAACGACAAAAAATGCGTGAAGTCTTAATGCAGACATGGGATGACTGTGATCTCACTGACATTTTAACACAACAGCAAGGAGACACGAGGACTTTGAAAGGAACATACTTAAAAGTCGCTGGCATTGCTATGAAAATTGTGGAACATCCGAAATTTTCGCTCTTTGTCACTTGTGTCATCATTTTAGCAGGACTTATGGTTGGGCTGCAGACGTCTGCAGACGTCGTAGATGTGCTCGGGTCATTACTTTCTGGTCTTGATACAGCTATTCTATCTGTGTTTACAGCTGAAGTTGTTTTGAAAATTCTTGCTGAAGGCTTGGAGCCTTGGAATTTTTTCCGTGGGGCATGGAATTTCTTTGATTTTGTCATTGTTGTTGGTAGCTTTACACGCGGATCAGGTGGCATGCTAACCATGTTGCGACTACTACGACTATTGCGTGTGCTAAAGCTTGTAAGAGCTTTTCCACAACTCCAAGTTATTGTTTCGGCTTTGATCAAAGGTGTGGGTTCAATTGGATATATTGGTTTGATTTTGCTTCTCTGCTTTTACGTTTTCGGCATTGTTGGAAACATGCTCTTTGCTGAGAATGACCCATTCCATTTTCAATATCTACACTTTGCAATGATTTCGCTCTTTCAATTGGCAACGATGGATGGCTGGAGCGATGTATTGTATATTAATTATTATGGTTGCGATCTATACGGCTACGATGATTATCGGGAATTGGGATACCAGTGTAAACATCAGCCTACTGGGATTCTAGCCGTGCTGTACTTCTGCTCCTTTATCGTTCTTGGTGCGATGGTTCTTATTACTTTATTCATTGGTGTGGTCACTACAAGCATGGAAGAAGCGACACAAGAAATGGAAGCAGAAAAAGAAATGCTGCGACGTGTCGAAGCTTTACGCACCCAACACAATATTGATACCAAAGTCGTTTCTTCATACATGCAAGTCTTTCATATGCTTGATCTCGATGGCAGTGGCTCGGTTGAAGAAGCCGAGTTGCGTACCGGTCTGGCAGCTATTGGAAAGTACCCGAGCTATGAAGAACTGAAAGAAATGATGGACGTCGTTGATGAAGATGGCAGCGGCCAGATTGATATTGTCGAATTTGTCGAGTTCATGATTCATGTGCGCGAAAAGTCGAATCAGCAACACGCGGCTCGGTTAGAAATTGAAGCTGAAGAAAAAGCGGTAACATCCGATAGTTCAAGCACAGACCCCGATGTGATAGATGATGTCGAGACCGAAGAGGCATCTTCGTCAGGACAATACAAGAGCTTGATTGGGAATGAAGCTAAAACTGACAGTCAAAACGATGCTGAAGTCGCCGCTCGAGTCCTTGCTATTAGTACAAAGAGCAACGACGAGATCAATATCGCACCATTCGTTGACCATCCAAGCCGGTCATGGCCATCTCCTCGTACATCGTTTCAAAACGGCAGGATCAAATCCTATTCTGACAAAGGAATTTCGAATCTGAATGGTGAGGCGAAAATATCCCAAACGACGAAGTCAACCATGCTTTTCGATGTTGAAGCCGCGTCCGACGACAAAAGCGAAATACCGTTACTAGCTCAAGCAATATCAGCTCGACAGCGCTCTGGCCGAGTAACCAATAAAATAGTCCCATCAACATAGATTTTAAGCTTAAGTAGAACGTCAGTCTCAATATTTCACCATCGTGTTGCCATTAGCTGCTAAGTCTGGTTCTGCTCGAGACTCATTTTTTGCATCAAAGCAACTTTAATTGATTCAAAGCCTCCAGCCTTAGCAGCATCATATGGCGACCAACCACGCTTGTCAATCAGCGTCAGATTTGATCCGTTTAGAACAAGGTAATCGCAACAGGTTGCGGAACCAGAGGCTGCGCTCACATGTAGAGCAGTTTCTTCCATTTCTCCCACGCGTACGTTAACGTCAATTCCATGAGCTACACACCACATCAATTCCTTGACATCTCCACGTGACGCTCCGGCTATAAAACGCTTTGCTAACTCCTGCTTGCAAACGTGATCATCGTCTTCTAATGTCGCATCTGGTTCAGCAAAGGCATGGAAATGATATTTGGCCTGAATAAATCGTGCTTTTACCTCTCGTGACGTTGAGGGCGTCGACTTAGCCCAGCCATTCGGGATCGTGTACTCCCACACAGCATTGACAACATCGTTACCCAGTTCGTCACGCAAGAGAACAAGCAGTGACATATCCCAAGAGTCCAAGGTTAAGGATCGTACCTTGGACTCGTGCACTCCGAGACTTCGATGAATGCCAGAGCACTCAATGCACAAAAGACATCCTATGTTAATCGATACCCACTCAGCTGGCTCCTGTCCACAGTCTGCGCAACAAGGATTGGCTTCAATCAGTTCGTCAATGACCGATTGCTGCTCTGGATGCACCTCTTTGCGGTGACATTGTTTTTCTAATGCGCTTTCTGTACTGCGTCTAGCAGCTTCAATCCACTCATTCATGTCGCGCGTACTTGTCGCTTGTAGAATTAGCTTCGCACGATTTGCGTCAATCACTTCAAAACAGAATGGAAGACTTGAGCCCTCCAATTCGCGCACCCGAGCGAGAAGAAGATCGCATACAAGAGTCAGACTGCCTTCTGTAGGATGCTTACCAATACTTCCACGCGTCGTTGTCTGGAAAAGCTTGCCAGTATGAATCTCGAACCAACGTCGCTTCCAGCTTCGAGCTGGAAACATTGAGTTGCGAACAAATAAAAAGCCTTGCTTAACGATGCCGCCACGAGGGGTTGCGACGGTCTGTCGACTGCTTAATGTGTCGGTCGAAATAACCTCAATAGGCACGTCAAGAGATGGAAACAACTCCAACAAACCATTTGTATCGACATTTAGTGAAGTGGGTGCCACAGTAGACGGTTCACCAGGTCGATAGCTTGAGCTGACAAGCTCAATATCTTGCAGCAAAAAGTTATCAAGATATTTTCGCTGCGATTGCCACATTATCTCGTCTTCCTCAAAATCTTTGCGTGAGACCTGCAGCATTTCTTGGCGTTTGCGAAGACTAGGCTCGATCGATTTCACAAGCTCATGGCACGCATGGAAGTGACCCAATTGTGCGTACATGATCGAATTAAAACATTCGACTAAGACATACTTCTTCATGCTGTCAATTCGATTCATGTAGCGAACAAGGTCAAAACGTGCGAGTTCAAAGCGTCGACGAGCTATTAAAACTTCCCGCTCCAAAGCTCGTTGCTGTTTGTCACTTGCGAGGCCAGAGTCCAAGCCTAAAATGTTGCTACTGCTTCCACCACCGAACGTCGCGGAAGCTGATGGCGTTCCTGTAATCATTGATTCTACATTTCCATTGTAACCTCCTATGAATTGCGCTGGACTGCCAAGGCTTGCGTCTGATCCGCTAGTCGGTGTACCTGTGCCATTCGCTTGTTGTCCAGGCTGTCTTGACTTGCTTAACAATTTACCTAGTAGCGCTTCATATTCATCACCCAGCCTTGTCACATCCTTTTTTAATTCTCCAGCTTCTTTAAGCAGCTCCTTTTCTGCAAACTGTTGGATAGATCGACTCAATAAAGACTCAACACCCAGCAACATACTCACTCGAGAGCTTTGCAATTGTTCCAACGTATCGTGCATTTCTCCAAAAAGGTCTGAGAGACTGCCGAGCTCCGAACAACTTGTCGAAAATATAGCGCGAGCGTGTTTACGCTGTATTAACTCATCGGCCAGTGCTGTCTCCACTTCACCAAAATGTTTTCCTGCAGCTGCATACTCTTTGGAATGTGACACAATCTCCTTTAACAGAGCGCACAGTCCTGTAACTGACTCTTCAAAGCTCTCGAGTTGGCGTCGAAACATGGGTGAGTCTTCGACAAAGTCCAGCACTACATTTTTGCTACAGCGCGTACAAACTCGAGTCTCATCAACGTCGGATGCAGCTCGTAACCTTGGCGACGTAGCAATGACACGCGGTGGAGACTGTTTCGAATCCTGCACTGACTTCAAATCGTATCCGATGGACTTTGGTAATTGTGTAATATTATCAGCTGCACATTCGGTAATCTCAGCACTTAATTTCCTGTTTTGCTTTACTGGAAGCTCGTTCATTGCATCGGACTGTGCCAATTTGTCCAAATCTTCAGGTGGCAAAGCGCCAAATCGCGCCGTGTACGTTTCTAACTGCAATTGTAAACTCACTATCATTAAATCCTTTTTCAAAATGACCTGCTGTAGCTCTGAGATAGCATCACTAGAGGTTTTGCTTCCTCTATCGGCATCTCGCCAGGCGTTAAACGCCTTCATGTATATAGTCGTTATGTAGTACAAAAAGTCAAATTTTACCAATTAAAATTAAAAATCAAAAGTGTTCGAGATTGACAATATGTTATCAAGTTGTGCTGCCGAGGACTGAGCTGCGGATATCTATCCATTCTTCTATCATACCAAGGGCAGAATTCACTGCTTACTACCGGTGAAGACATCGGCAAACTGGTCCTCCGGCATCTCGCGCTCAGGCTGACGCTCCTTACGTTCACCCTGTGCACTCTTGCGAGACACGTAACGATCACGTTTATCAGCTTTGGCATCTCGACGATTTTCGTTGGGCGACACGTATTGGTCGTTCTGGTACAAAGTTTGGCCACCAAAACTTCCATCAAAGATACGAATGGGTGTGATAACAAAGCGTGGGCCAATCTCAATAAGCTGAATGAGATCTTCGCCACGGTGGAGAGCGGCTGACTCGACCTTTTTTGTATCAGCATCATCTGCTAGCTGGTAGTTGCGGCCCCAGACTTTACCATCCGCATAGTAAAAGCTCATGACGCGGTCAATAAATGGCTTGCTCTTTGGATGCGCCTTAGGTGTACCCCACACCTGCGTAAAAAGCTTCTTGATCACCTGTAAATGTGGAGCTTCGTCAAAAGCTTTGTCAAAAGTCAGTAGCGGACGCGATCCGGACAGAGCATTGCCCGTTAATTTCAGCTCATCCATTGTGTGGACTGACATACATAATCAAAGCATATAAAACAGTTAGCTCAAGTGCTTAAGTGATACAATTTGTCTATCCATTGTACGCACCGTTTTGCACCAAAAACTTTACGCTTGGGCCCGTGCCGACACGGCTAATCCACATGTAAAGGTCCTGGCGTTTTCGAGCTTCTAGAAAGATGGTGGTGTTGCATCCTTTGATTTCCGCAATCTCATTTACTACGTGCAGTGTATCCTTGGCGTCAAGCTTCACCTCGCGCTTGTGGTGAGGCAATAACTTTCGAAAATCATCCATCAAGTGGCGGTACCGCGTCGTGATGCCACGTGATGAGAATACGAGCACACGTTGCTTGTTGGTATACTTGCTGCCTCCTAATGTATCTATCTTCTGTTTTTTAACTTCGTCAGCTGCGTCCACCTGTACGCTGGTCTCATCCTTGCGTCTCCTCTTCATCATGGCCATGGCGCAAAGAACTAGAAAAATTAATGGCTGGCGAGCTGGTTTATTGACAATTTATAGTAATATTACTCGGTATAATATGATGGTATAATCATAGTAGTAATCAGAAATGTACTCCAAAGTATCATCTTTGTTACTAACATATTTACAATTATCTAACACTAAACCGCCGCAGGGACGTCGACCATCCCTGGCGCCTTCTGCCGGAAGAAATTCTGTAGTTTTTCATGCTGGTCCACACCGATTGTAAATTCGTTGACTTGAATCTTGTTGTTGGTTCGGTTTCTGTCAACAAAGCCCACAAAAGGTACGCCATCGAACATGACAACTTTATCGCTAAATTCGTCGCCAACAAAGTCATTGTCTTCTTCATACCATTGACGAGGCTCGCGCGCAACAACGATACGCAGTAGAACAGCATTATCCGGTGCCGTGGAGTTGAAGAGATGGGTGACCGGCAATTCCGCTTTATCACAAAACGGACACCACAGCCGATTGTTGAAATGATGCACGCCTGATACGAAGAAAAGAAATAGCGGATAGCTGAAATCGTACGAAGCAAGAAAGTCCATGACTTGTCGAGCATTGTCAAAATTAATAATGCGATTTTTGTGAGCTACCGACTTGCTAACTTTGAAGACAACATCAAGCAGATCTTGATTTAAACAATGGGGCCCGGCAAGCAGCGCTGAAGAGTTACCACCACCATCATACCGCATCAGTGTCGGCAAATAATCAATGTAAAAGAGCTGATTCTGTCGAAAAGGATTCATAAAGTCGTTCCAATACGCTTCTGATCCCACTTGAATTTCAAGCAGTCTTGATCGTCTAGGTGCGCGCTTGAAGCCAGCAAGAACCGCAGTTTTTACCATTTGACAAGGATTGAACCAGTATGTGCCATTGGCATCCATATCACTCGTAAACAGGAAAAACAACGGACCCATAGTCTCCACATCGTACTCACGCACAAATTTGTGCGCTTCTTCAAATCCACGAATAACGTAATATGTGTGAGCACGAGTGCGGTCGATATGAACTGTCAGTGTAGTCTCAGCAGTCTTAGCGGCGGTGGTGTCTCTATTCTCGGTTGTGGTTGTGACTTCTTTAGTAAATTGCCACATATACGTCACGGAAAGGAGCATCGTTGTAGCCAGCACCAGTTGCATAAAGCGCATGGGATTCAAATACCAAACTTTAGCCTCTTCCAGACTTGACACCTTCATCTTGACAGACACGCGGTGATATATTAAGTAAGTTCAGTTCTGGCTTGGTGTTGTGTTGGTAAAATGTTATTGGTCGATGTCTACAGAGTCTTCGATGATTGGTTCAATCAAAAAGAGTAAGACTTTGTTGTTCTATTGGCTACATTCAGTTTACCATCATAATGGCTAGGAAGAGTGATCTTCAGGTTGGTCACCGGCAACAGGAAGAAGCCGACGAGTCTTATGTCCAAAGTACAGTCCACATCACATCGTTATCTGTATCACCTATATTCAGACACCATCCACGAAGCTCTGAAGGAGTAGCAGAAGCTGTGCTTGCTCCTCCAGCACAAACGGCATCGTCTTATCTTCAAGGCCGCGAAGAACAAGATGCCAAACATAGGATGAAGCACGTATATGAAAAAGTCTTACGTCGGAAAAATCGAGCAGAAGCAGGTACTGCAGCTCCTCGTGGGTCTTCAGAGACAGATAGCAGTGTGTCACCAATGATGTCGAATGCGCTGATTGCTAGCGACAACGTAGAGCTTCGCTGCATTCAACAGCCTGGGGTTGTACAGTGCGATGAAATACAGCGGAATCAGGAATCGGCGTTACATTCTTACTTCTCTCTTTCACCAAAACGTGAAGACAGGAGACGAACCCGCAGTGGCTTAAAGCGCGTTAGCTTTGTCACGCCTCCGCTTGCTGTCGTATCCGGATCGTCTTCATCTGCAGGGACAAGACATGCAGACTTGTTTAGCGCTGAAGACTATCGACGCGATGATGATCGAAATGCACGGAGAAGAGAACGATTAGAAAGAAGGCAACGGCGACAAGAAAATACTCGTGGGAGATCTACTAGTAATGATGGCAAAGGATCAACGCTCTTGGATGTAGATGACGCGACTGTGCGATACATTGATGCAGTGCTAGTGAGACCCGATCAACAGGTTTTTAACAAGTACACAAGATATTTTTTGGATCTGAAGCTTGAGACGTTGTACCAAGATTTTACAGCAATCTTCTGGTTCAGACGTGCTCGCTGGCATGTGGCACTATGGATGTCTGTCCATTTGTTTGTAAATCTTATTTTCTATGTTCTTCCAGGCTCGAAGTTTACTGGTATGAAACAATTTATTTTATCATATAGTTCATTGCCGACGTTTTTACAGTGGGTCTACATCTTGATTGCGCTTCCATTCGCTGCGCTTCCAAACAAGTCCAATCCTTTTCAAACGCGGTGGCGTAGCTGGGTTTGCCTTATTATCATCTTATTTAACTTGACATTTCAAATATGGCTAGCAGACGCCAGTCGTTTGGCTACCAGTTCTTATTTAACGATCGTGCATGACCATCTCACATGCGATGCTTCAAACTCGGAACTCACGTTGGCATTCGCCGGTTTGAAAATGAACTCAAACGAAGAGGCTTTGTCCAACATAACAGTAGATTTTGCTCTTGCGTATTTGAGGGACGAGCAGATGAATCTGGCTATTAGTGTGACTCACATCTCCTCTGATGCACTAGTCCAGACACTCATAACTTTTGAATCGCTTTTCAGTTTTTTGTTCGTGATCTCAATACGTTTGGAGTTCGTCCAAGTCGTGGTTGTGGCTGTCACTGCCGCCACTACATACGCTATCGTTGTTACTGCGTTCGGATTTCAATTGCAGTGGCTCATGACTTTCAGCTATGGAACAGCAGTTGTGTTGTTTCTCATTTTATCCTATTCGACAGATCGTACAAATCGCAGATCGTTTTTATCCAATTTTCTCGTCGAAAAAGAAAATGAGAGTCTTAAATCGTCTTTAAAACAAGCAGAAGCTGCTCTGCAGAATGATACGGCTCGCGCAGACGAAGAACGTGCTGTGGCTAGAGTACTCGCTGCACCCGAGATGCAGCACCTTGAAATGGTACACATTCCGTTTGCAGATCTCACCTTCCTGCAAGCCATTGGCCGCGGATCTATGGGCGACGTGATCAAAGCACGGTACTTTGGAACTGTTGTGGTCTGCAAGCGTATGCGTCGTGAACACATTGTGGAAACAAACAATGGTCGGAATCGACATGGACAGCGAGATGCTTGGAATGAGGATAGTGCACTGGCGAGTTTTCGTGATGAAATTGAACTCATGTCGTGCTTGCGACACCCGAATATCGTGCAATTCATCGGTGCCAGTTGGGACAATGCCTCAAACCTTTGTATAGTGATGGAATATCTTGAGAATGGAGATATGCATAGTGTGTTGCATTCAGGACTGGGCAAGAACTTTACGTGGGCAGATCCGCTGTTAAAAATGGCTGTGGATGCTGTGCAGGGAATGCTCTATTTGCACTCCCAGGAACGGCCAGTCGTGCATCGCGACTTGAAAAGTGTCAATATTCTCTGTTCGGCCACGTATGGGTGCAAAGTGGGAGATTTTGGACTGAGTCGTCGGTACAAGAAAGGTGTTGATGCTCTCACAACTCTCGTGGGTACGCCATTCTGGCTCGCTCCTGAAATCATTCGCAGTGAGCGATATGGACCGGAAGCTGACGTTTATTCATTTGGAATCGTTTTAACAGAACTCGAGACGCGACGAACTCCATATCACGACCAGGAAGAGACAGGATTAAAAGTGCTTATGCGCGTAGCACATAAAGGGCTACGGCCTTCATTACCTTCGACGTGCCACCCTGAACGACGCAAGCTTATTGAAGCATGTCTTCACGATGTTCCTCGACATCGACCGACCTTTTTGCAAGTCCTCTCTCGGTTGCAAGGGCCTGTGAGACTTGAAATTGAAGGTCAAGCAGCAGCTCAACCGGAGCTTGAACGCCGCGTTCTGCTTCGACGATGTCAAGAGCGTCAAAGTCTTTAGCAGTCATGAATTGTAATATTATGTTAAACTACTTATCAAATTTGTCAAATAGAGCATTTCTATGTATTTATTTATTTTGCTGTGATAAATGGGCAAATACTGTACTCGACCCTTTCAATTCTACCAACTTCCAACTCAGGAGGGCGACAAACTTTGTATACGAGACTTGTTCGCTCTGCTTCAAACGTTGGTATCAGCACTCAGAATGTCCTTGGGCCCTTCTTGAGGTAGCGATATAATTACCTGCAGGTAGGGTGTAACGGGGTTACACGTACCCTGGTATAAAAGGGTAGCAAAAGATGGTGTGACCGTACAAAGGTGTCGATTACACAAGACGGTGTAATTACACAATGGTGTGGCTACACCGTAACAAGCAGTACTTATGCACATTACTTATGTTTTACTTTTTGACCTGGAAAACCTAAGGTTTTAGATATAGGCGGCTCTGTCGCAAATAAACAAATAAATACAGTTTTATTTTGAGTGAAAGAGTATACTTGCCTTGTGTAAGGTTTTGGGTACTCTTGGAGGTAGCAGATTGCGATCCGCTACACTAGTACTGGTTCTGATATAGAACGTAAGTTCGGTGACCTTAGCTCGACTTCCTCCGAGCAGAGAGCTACGGCAGCCCCGCTACATAGGGTGTGAGTCCGCCAGGAGCAACACACATTCCTATCTAGCGCGTCTGACTCGAGTCCTTGACCACTTTAAAGATGTACAATCTCATCAAGTCCAAAACGAGAACTCATTTCTCACTGGTGTCGAGCAGAGGGAAATGAAGATCAATTCACCGCTAAAACAACGCGCTGTCAACCGATTTTCGCGGCTGGTGCGACGTACACACCATTAATATTCTAGAACAATCCGGCCGGCTTGTTTTTCTAGACGAGAACGGGAATAACATAATTGCACTGGCTGTCACGGCAAAGTTGACAGTGATGCGCATCGGAGGAGTTCACGTCGACGGGAACTACGACATGCCGTGCACCGGTGTGATCGACGGTCATGGCTCTCATGTCCTCGTGGTAGATCGCTCTCTTACCCACGAGTGTGGTCTTCTCGCGGGATATACTGGGCGACGCACCGTTCAAGTACCGCATCTAGGAAACTAATCGCGCAATGAGCATCTCGTCTGCAAACATAGTAAAATAAGTCTTGCGGCGGAACGAGAAACCAAATCGGTCCATAATTTGTCAAATCGTTTCGTCGATATCATAAATAGCTTCGGCTTCTCCTCCGTAACGTGCAGCGACGTGTGGATGGCCAAAGCAAAAGAGAGAGTATCTTCTTGCGCTCGCTTTTGAAACTACCATTTGCACTACGGTCGTTGTTCCTGTCGGTAGACTCGTGGGCTACAGTGTCTACACCAATATTCGGGGATCATTTAGAGTTTTACTAACAAAAATTCACTATGTCTATGGCTATCCAAAAGTCTTCGAAAAATCCTGTCGCATCATGTGATTTTGCGTCTCCGACCATGACAAAAAGTAGCAGTTACGTGTAGAGTCAGAATCACATACGAGCTTAATACTGCGAGGTATGGCATCAATACTAATGCCATATTAGTTAGCAGCCGAAAGCACATCTACAAAACAACGTCTCTACTCTTCAATGAGGGCATTAGGCGTGTCTGACAGAAGGTACACCTGTGACGGATATACTTCAAGACTCTCGGAGAATCGATAGGCCACCACAACAGAGAAATATCACGAATTCAAGCCGCATGAGCATTGCTCTCCATCGTATATGCTCATTGACTTGTTCCCATGTGTAGTGGATTAAAGGCCCGTGACCTCACCGGGGGTATTACCAGTTCCTGTTGAAGTTGTAGGGTTGCCTCCACTCCGAAACTCCATGAAGGTAGATATTCACTTCAGCAAGATCGCTACGGCATCGTTGATGCATACACTTGGCAAAACTTCCGCCTTTAAATCACTATGGTGGAAAACAGTGCAGCGGGGCTGCCGTAGCTCTGCTTAGAAGAAGCTAAGATAAGGTCACCGATCCACGTTTTATACAAGAACTAGTACGACTGTAGCGGATCGCAATCCGCTACCTCCAAGAGTACCCAAAACCTTACAAGGCAAACTGTAGTTATTTGTTTTATTTGCGGCAGAGCCGCCAATTAATATGCATAAGTACTGGCAGTAGCGGCTTCTTGTTACGGTGTAGCCACACCACTGTGTGATAACACCAACTTGTGTAATCTACAACTATCTACGGTTGGTCACACCATTTTGTGCGACCCGCTTATCATACAAGGGTACGTGTAACCTTGTTACATTTGGTCAAGTATAAAGACAAGCATCGTAAGTCACACAGTCCCGTTTGTTGATTATTAGATTAGAAATCATGAAGCTGTCGATGACATGATCCAAACAATGCAAAAACGGTCTGATTTTCAGTGTCTAGACTTCATCAAGACATCGAAATGGAATCAATTCACGACAGCAAACATAAAGGCTCAAGCACCTGAAGAGATAAAAAGTAATTTTAAATTACCATTGGTTTTAATAGCAGTCCATTTTACATATGAACTGCTACATGTATCTGCATACCAACAATCGCACTCGCATAGATAAAGCAACATAAAATCATCATAAAATGCTCCGATTCATAAATTTCACTTGTTGAGCGCTTAAATGTACTTGTGCCATATAACATCGCACCGACATAACACTGGATCCAGTGGACCCAAATTCGAATACCATACGAGGTCAAGACATCAAAAATTGCAGCCAATACAACATATTGTCGACAAAGTGGTTGGAATTCGTAATGTTTTCGTTTTCGATTTCGAATTGTTGGAGAAAATGCACCAGGAACAGCTAAAAATGTACAGGAGCACGTGAAGATGAGTTTGAGTCCATATGCAGATAGTACCGAAAGATCTGTCGATATTGTCGCAAAGAGAAAGACGAGAACATACGGCCAAATGATGATTTTATACAAGTAATCACTCCAGTGTGAGTTAATCAATAATGGCGACTCAATTGAGCGTTTCTTGGGTAGAGATACCCGAATTCCATCACGTTGTAATGGAGAAATTCGTGTGCTACGTCGTTTTGTTGGTCGTGGACTGATACTTTTTGTACTTTTGCGTCGAGTATCTTTCACGGAAGGTTCATCAGAGTCAGTTGTCCATTCTAACGTCGCGTCCAAAGTTAATGAAGTTGAATCGAGTGATTTCTTTTCAACTTGATCGAGAAAAAACTTGTCGACAATAGGTCGAAGCCATGTATAAAATCCACTCGGATCGTTTGTAATTCGACAAAGATGTTCATTCCCAGCACTTGCTTTTGAACTCTTCAAGTCAAGTTCAATCTTTTCAGCTTCTTTGCGAATCAAATAGAGTAGAATCCCTGCCATCTTTTTAATACCAAAGTTCAGCATAGCTTTTGGAATGGCACATTTGGGATCAAGATTTGCAATGATACACGTACGTGCTTGCGTACGTGTAAGAGGTTCAATTAGTGCACGAAATCCTTTTATCTCCATGCGACCTGCACTCCATCCTTGTAACGTTGGAATAGACACAGAAGTTGTGATTGTTGACACATCCACAGATCCTCCTAATAGCAAAAGACAACGATGTTCATAAACAGCATTAATCCCAAATGCTCGAATGATAGCATCTCGTTGTAAGAAAGGGGATGAGATTGCTAAATACGCTGCAAGTTCCACATGACCCATTTCTTGTAACAAAAGAGATTGAGAGCAAAATGGAATCCATACACTATAAAGATCGACTTCCCGAATGACCGAAATCGTATGAAAAATATCCACACCATCCACAAGACCTTCAAGTTTAATCCATACAGAACCATCTTCATCTGGTTTCCAAGATGTAGTCACTCCTAACATTGTTTGTCCAAACTGCCAGTCATTATCTTTTTTCGTATTGTTAAATTCTTCAAGTGCTTTCACACCTCGTTCTCGTCGTTCTTGAATATAATCAACCAGTTTTTGTTTCTCATCCATTGTTTGCTTCATTCGAGCTACAACAATCGTATCGTTATTTGTATCAGCTAGAAAAGCTTCAAGTCGATCGATAAGTAACCCGGCAGAGAAAACTCGCTCCGTCGTTTTAAGCTTCAACACTTGTTGCCACACCCAATCGACGTTATCTACTGTGACTGTAACCGAGGAATAATCTGTCAATTCACAAGTCTCCAACTTTGTTTGATCATTTTGTGTATCGCTCGTATTATCTGTCGGCGTAGTCAAGCTCTTGATTGCTACTATGTTTGTATCAGATGTTCGACGTTTCTTTCGAAAAATACCTGGAAAACGACGAGATAAATGGTGTCTACCTTTTAAAGATCGTTGTTTGTTTCCTACAATTAACATTGCAGCTTTAAACGTAACGATACATTGATCACGACTTCTTTCCAACAAAAGAGCGATTTCAGTAAATGGTACGTTTCGAACATGCAAGTCATTAATTTTGTAAACCAAATAGCCTGCAGGCACTAGCACCCGTTCGGTATCAACATGTGACAACGACGTAGAAGATCGAGACGTTAATGTCGTTTGTTCGGAAGATAAAATCTCTGAATGACTGCTATCAAATATCGATTTGGCAGCAGACGCAACAAAATCACGATAAAGCATTGCACTTCTTCCTTCGTCTTTATCAAATGGACGTAACAAACTCAATATATTATTTGCTCGAGTAATAAAGCACCGTACAATGTTTTGAGGTTCGTGATAGTGATGATAACCCAGTAAAGCTTCACGATCTGGGGAACTAAAACCTAAAGTTAGAGGTCGTTTAGCTCGCTGAATCTCACTAAATACATTCGTTGAATTCCAATCTGTCACAGAGATACCATTGACTGATGTCACAAGATATCCAATTTCAATGCGATTTCCACTTCCTGCTGCTTCACTGTGTTTTTCACAATACGCAACGATAATTTTGTTAGAATACAGATCCATTTCCAAGTGTAATCCAATCTTTTGTTTACGAAATTTCATACTAAAATCATCATCTAATGGCAGTAAAGTTTCGTCTTTATCAAGAGGTGCTGTTTGTGCAGAGTCTATCGAACTCACACGAGAAACCTCTGAAGGTGTGTTCGTGAATTGAGATTCAAGATTATAAGCTGAAGACGAATGGTGAAGATATCCATCATTAAAATTAATTGAGTGACGAATCAAAGTTGATCGAGAACTTTGATCAGTTGATACTTCACTTCGACGCATATCTCCATAGTCATCACTCAATCGACTCAGATTTTCAATACCATTGACACTTTGTGTACTATTTGTACTTGTCGTACGTCGAGAGAAAAACGAGTTTCGTGACTGCTTCTGCATTCGCACAGGTTTTCGTTCTTCTGTAGCAGAAGCTCGAATGACATTTTTCTTGTCACTTGGATCGATCGATTCAATGACGAGAGTTGGAGTTTCAGCACGTTCACGTATAACTTGAGACGGCATACTTTCATTCTCATTATTCTTGATTGAGTGAAAGAAAGCTGCATATCCACTACAAGCTTTGTGAAGTTTCGTCATAAATGATGGTAACATTGTACGAAGTAAGAGATTGATGAGATAATTTGGAAGACTAAAGTTTGTATCATCTTCATATTCCAAATAAAAGTCACAAGATTCATGAGAACTTGCTAAATTTCGAATACACAATCGTAATCGACACGTTTCAACTCGTGTACGAGTGGATGAAACAGGTACATCGATATGATGTGCAGCTTGATAAAGAATAACAAAAGCATTTTGAAGTGGATAAAACTTGACACGACGTCGATAAACGTAATCACGATTTGCTAATGGCCATGGAAGTTTAAAAGCACAATACATGACATCACTTTCATGCTGATGTTCGACTACATACACTTCATCCACATTATGATCCCATAATTCACGATAGCGGATATCCAAGAGTGTATTAAATAGTGTATCCGCTGAAAAAGGGAACCACCCTTTTGAGCAATAAATGGGTAAACTTGACTCTTCTTGAGTTGGTCGAAATACTTCAAGATTCTTATCAGTATAAATGGCTTCATTTAAATTAGCCCACATGGCAGTTTCACCCATATCCACAGCATCTAAAGACACAAAAATGAGCACAAAACGATGAAAAAAGTGGCATTGAAAAAATGCACAATGTACCATCTAGTTCTGAGTCACTAAACTCAGGGTCGGAACACCGATGTGTGAGTGGCGGACGCTTGCCATTTGGTCCTCCACGTGAGGTGGGCAGTACAGGCTTTGAAGCTTCGAACGAACTCATAAGACGAGAGACACTAAAATACTCGATCCGTCGCTCACTTGTGATCCAAATTAATGACGCTTCAGGTACAACGTCGCAACTTGTCTATTAATTGATTCACTACGACGAGTCGGAAGTTGGAGTGGGAAACGAGCACGCTTTTTTACATGCTTTGTAATGGAATTGTCATGGCATGCGACAACAAAAAGTGGACGGTTGGACCTGCAAGTTATCATAAATGTGGTAACTATTAAAATTTAAAGTAAATAGTATAATTGATATATCCAAAAAGGTTACGTTACCGGTATTGTATTTAGTAGTAATTTCTCACAAGAGAATGGAGAAAGAAGAGATCAGTAAGAAGAAAGATGGGCGAACATTTAGCCCCTTACGCTTCATGCAGGTAGCACTGGCGATCACGTTGTTCTTCTCGATAACGTATATGTACCAGTTTGTAACGGTAAGTATCACTCTTCGTTCAGTAAATGATTCTGAAGACTCGAAAGACGTTGGGATCGTGCGTAATCGCGTGTTGGGTCACTCAATACTGCATCTTCAAGGTTTTGAAGCTGCACACAAGTTTGTAAGTGATTATGATATCGAACAAGGTCCTTTGTATATTTTATTCATGAGTGATGCCGACGAAAATGGCAAGTACTGGTGTCCAGACTGTGAACGTGCAAAAAAACCTGTAATGGATGCTTTTAATCGTGCACCACGAGGGTCAAAACTTGTCGAAATTCGTGTGGGTCCACAATCATATTGGTCGGATTACATGAATGAATTTCGACAGAATCAACTTTTTTATTTGGATCATATTCCGACTCTTATGCGATACGAAGGAGGTGGCAATTCATCGACAATGCTAACGGAATCATTTTGTAACGATCCAGATCTGTTGGATTATGTTTTTCGAGTGAATAAACCACTTGCTGGTAAGCCACATGAGAACAAGGTGTTAACAATGACAAGTCCAACTGAAGTGATAAATTATGTGGGAACTTATGACCATAGTCATCCTCTGTTTTTATTCTTTGTATCTGGAAATCACGATTTTAATGGACGTTTGTGGTGTCCATATTGTGATCGAGCGGATGTGGCTGTGATGCATTATTTTAACTATACAGCATTAGATGATGCTGTGCTGATTCGAATTGTCGTGTCGAATTCCTACAAAGAATGGAAGAAGAATGAAAATCCATTTAAACAGCTTGAATTCCGAGAAAAAGTGACGCTTTTACAGGGTGTTCCCTATCTTGGATTTGTGCGGAAGGACCTCCCTGCGAATAAGGTCCATGTGTTTCAATTTATGCCTGATTATGTCGAAACACAGAAATTGTTGACGTTTTTTAAAAATAGACCGATTTAGTTGGTTGATAAAATAGAAATGTAATCAAACTGGCTTTTGAAGTACATAACCTTATGTAGTTATTGCAACTTAATTTTTGGACATGATTTAGAAACGTTTTGCAATTTGATCATGTATGATCGACGTCGTCATAATCATAGCAATGTGCGCGTGTGGCTCCAACGTAATCTCTGGCTCGTTACAGCTTCAGTGCTAATCGTGATCTACTGCATCTTTACTGTGTATACAACTACATGGATGCAAATTTATAGCGAGCAAAAGGAATCAAAGCATCTTACTCAAGAGAGTCATAACTTAATGGATGTCACGAATGTTTTTAAAGACAATAGCGACAACACTATGGAAGAAATGGCCAGCGAGATCGAATACGAAGAAGAAGAAGATAGAATGAAGATAATTGATACGAATGACATCTCGTATGTTCGTACGGTGGCAACAGTACCAGTTTCGAGAGCTGAAGTACCGTTTAAAGATTTCAATGTGGAAGAAGAACATGAAAAAGTGATTAGCGATGTACCAACATCGGAGGTTCATGACGTGGTTAAAGTATTGCCGAGTGATGAAGGATCAACGAATGAATCTGTGGTGCTATTGGTGTCAGAAACAGAGACGATTGATAACCACTATGAGTCTTGGAATGACGTTGATGAGTTGTCTGACGTTGTCAATCATCATGCTCCTATTTCTGATACCAGCGCGTCTTCTTCTGAGTCGTTTACTAATGCTAGTACACTGTATTCTTCATTACCAATTGCTCGCATCAGGCCAATTGAATATCGCAAAACATTTGATAAGACTCGACTTAAAGTGGAAATTTCCGAGCAATCCGGTTCATGGATTCCATTTGAAAATCGACATCATAAAATTGTTGGCTACAATGCTACGTTGGAATATCTGCAATACTACACAAAAGCTGCTGACTCAAAAGAAGAATTATTCTTGTTTTTTACATGCAGTACACGCGATGGTGATCAAGATGATTGGAATCCTAATTGCGCTACAGCTCGTGAAAAGGTGTACTCGATCTTTTCCAAGTCACCATCAACGAATCGTCTTGTGACTATATATGCAGGCACTTACGAAGATTGGATGGATGGAAACAACTTTACTTTCGATGACGATCTTCGTTTAAAAGCTGTTCCGACATTAATGCGATGGGATGGTGGTACTCCTGGAAGTTTACGGTCGACTTGGGGTGTATTAGTGGATGTATCAATTCTATATGATCCGTTTGTTCGCTATCTCTTTCGTAATACTGATAAAGAAGATCAACTATTAGTTAAACCAGAAGTCGAAAGCAAGGAGATTATAACCGTGCGAGGCTATTCGTCGTACCGAGCGTACGTGGATTCTTATGTCACTAGTAACTTTTCCTATCCGCTCTTCATGATGGTCTTATCTGGTCGATTGGAACATAACAATCGTCTCTGGTGTCCATGGTGTCGACAATCTGAATTGCCTGTTAAGTATGCATTCTATGCTTATGCACCAGTTAATGCCAAGCTGCTACTTATCGAGACTTATGACAATCGTAGCGAATGGCGAAACCCAGATAATGAGTTTAAAGTGGATCCACAACTCGCAATCAAAGGTGTTCCATGGTTCTATCGTGTCTCCTCTCGTACACTTGGCGATCCACTCGTGTATGAACATATTAAAAAGAAATTCTATCTCCTGGAAGCTTTGGAACAAGTATTTGCACCACTTTAAGTGGAGCACAGTATAGAAATTGATTTAAGAAACAAAACAGTTTTATCCAATCAAATTATACAAAACGTGGGAAAACGACTGACTCGATTATTATCATAAGAATGGGGTTGAAAATGAAAGCACATCGTCATGCAGGCACAATCTCTCGTCGACAGCGGTGGATTTTAATGATAATCATTGCCTTTGTATTGTACTTGATGTTGATGATTCAAATGTGGATCTGGTCCTCTGCAAACCACGCAGATTTACGTGCTAATATCATAAATGCTGAAGATATTCCCAAGCCAGTTAGTCGATCGACAATTAAACAAAATGACGAGCCACAGGAGATGCGAGTAGATTCTTCACAAGCAGAAGAAATGAATCATAAACAACCAAATTTACGCATTGTTGATCCATCTCAAGCGATTCCTGACACGATGGAGCTTTTGACTCATGAGTCCGAAGCTCCACGAGCTACTAATGTACCAGAAGCTTCACCACCTTCAAAAGTGATGATTAAATCACCTTCTTCATTTGCAGCTCGTCATGATATTATCTTTGGGTACACTGCAGCAATGAAGTATTTGGCTAATTATACAATTTCTGAAGATTCCAATGAACGACTCTTTTTGTTTTTTGTATGTGGTGATGAGAAAGGAGAACAAATGAAATGGCGAAAAGTATGTGTGGATGCATCTGCATTAGTATATGATGTGTTTGCGAAATCGTCGTCTCATAATCGATTGGTGACTATTTACGCTGGATCAAAGACAGATTGGTCGAAAACGAATAACTTTTACAATGATGTGGATCTTAAAGTGAAGATGATTCCTGCTTTAATGGAATGGCATGGAGGACGTCCTGGTGCAAAGCGTGTGACAACTGGTATGATTATTGAAGATAGTCTTCTTTACGAACCATTACTGCGATATCTGTTTAAGAATGAAGACAGTTTGGATCCACTTCTTGCACCTGAAAAGATTGCATCGAAAGAAATTGTTTTATTAAAAGGTCATCAGAAGTATCGACAATATATTGAGACAATTGCCAAAGGAGAAAATCCATTGCTAACTGTTCCAAATGGTCCAATGTTTTTCTACTTTATTGCTGGTCGACTGGAAAGAAATGAACGTCCATGGTGTCCATATTGTCGATATTCTGAGATCTCGGTTGAGTATGCATTTTATGCTTTTGCACCTCCAGGATCTCGCTTAGTTAAGGTTGAGACTGTCAATTCTTATGCTACATGGAAAAAACCTGTTAATGAATGGAAATCGGAGACTTCCGTGATAATTCGTGGTGTTCCATGGATGTTTCGAGCAGAATTAGATGCTCACACGCATACATTTACTTTTGATCGAGTGTATGGACGATTTGATCATCCGGATACGTTACAAGAACTTTTTCAAACTTAAACGAATTATTACGAGTTTTTTTGTTATATTCTTGTTGTTTATTTTTTTTAAGAATAATCTTGATGAGAATATTTGTTTTACTTCTATTCTTTAAGAAAAAATTACTACACTTTTGAAATTAAGGTACAATACATCACAAGTCTGTTTGAGATTGTTGGATGGATATCTCTCACTTTGTCTTAACATAGTTCTTTCTTGATTTGTAGTCGTATAGATAAAAGTCTGTGACGTATTGTAATGTAAAAGCGCTTTGGTTTACGAATTGTCGGATCGTTGTCGTACACTTTTATCTCTTTCGACGTTCGTACATTAAGTTTCATTTCTTCATTACGTCGATCATGGCAATATCAAGATACAGACGTGATTCCAAGCGACTTAGCGTGAATGTATGGTACCTTCTTACTTGTGGTTTCTTTATCGTGTACATCACCTTTTTAATTTCTTGGCAATTTGGAGACTTTTCATACTTGGCATCCACTGAGCAGCTCAGTCATCTCCGCACGGTACATAAACATCTTGATGATGCTTTCGACGTTGACAAGACTTTGCAATACAAAAATGAAGAACAAACACATGAAAATGGACATTCAATAGAGTCAAAAAATGGACATGAACCTAAGAATGTGACGTTAATGAAACAGATTCCAGATGCTGCTGTCTCACCTTTGCATTCCATTGCTTCGTCTATAAAGACTATCACAGCCTCTACAGTGAATTCGACTTTGAGTAGACCACCTTTTACTGCAGTTTTAAAGTCTAAGACATCGAACGATGAGATCGAAGATATCGTACCATCGATTTCTAAAAAACCTTTGAATCCGACAAACTGGACGATCTCTGGATATGCTGATACGATCAAGTTTTTGAAACAGTATCAATATGATCCACAGAAGGCGCTTTTTCTGTTTTTCGTATGTAGTGATGAACACTTTCAAGCAAACGATTGGTCTGAAATTTGTGTGAAAGGAAAAGAAAATGTTTATGAAATGTTTTCCACATCTTCAGAACATAATCAACTCGTGACGATATATGCAGGCTCGAAGCAATACTGGAAATATCAAAACGATTTTTACAATGATCGAGATTTGAAAATTGTAAGTGTACCTTCGATTCTAAAGTGGGAAGGTCGTGGTGGTCGTACATCAGGAATGCTGGTCCAAACGTCGCTTTATGATGTTGAGTTGGTCAAGTATCTTTTCGCTAAAAACGGTTCACCTGAATCGTTTTTTCCTGTTGAAACTGTTCAGAATAAAGAGATTGTCACGGTGAATGGATATGATGCATTTGTGGACACAATGACTGCGTTTGAGGAAGAGATGAATCCAGTGTCGACGTTTCTTATGATGGTAGCAGGTCGATTTCAATACAATAAACGTCCCTGGTGTCCGTACTGCCGATACTCGGAACTTCCACTTGAGTATGCATTTTACTCTTTTGCTCCAAAGAATTCACGATTGATTCGAGTGGAGGTGACCGATTCGTATACGGATTGGGAGAAACGAACAGAATTTACGGAAGATCCAAATCTAAAACTTCAGCATGTGCCATTGATGTTAAAGATTGATCTCGAACCAGCTGACATTACGAACAAGATAAAATTTACCAGACACATGTTTCGTTACGATCGCTTGACCCCATTACGTCTGTTCTTCAAACGATTTACTTAAAGTAGTTTGTATATATGTGTGTTAGACTTGGTCTTATGAAAGATGTTTCGTATTGTCAAAAATTTTCTTTCGATTATTGCAAGTGGATCGAATCTAAATAAGTTTCTAATCTATTCATATTAGCTAAAGTGATGTCAGATGACGCTCGGAATGTTCGCGGTTGACGCAATGATCTCTTTCGTAATAGACACTTTGGTGTTTGATCAACTATTCCACGTTCAGTAAGAAATCCGAAATATCGAGCAAAACTTAAGCCCAAAAACTCTTCAATCAAACGCAATAAGACACTAGTTTCACAGGAAGAATTGTCAGGTAATACTCGAAGATGTTGACGGAGACTTCGAATCGTAAGTAAACACATGACTACAAATTGTTGAAACCGAACTTTACGTTCACAAATGATTTCATTTTCAACCATTTCAATCGTTAATTTTGAAAACAGATGCGAACCCCAGACTTTACGTGAAGGAAAAGCACCATTGACAATTGAAGTGAGTACATTGTCACAAATGGGACAATGAGGTTGACGACGACGTTTGCTTCGACTTAAATGTTTAATCAATTGTAATCGTAACGCACGAAATTCGGAAAATCGATGCACTATACACCATTGCTGTTTGCTTAAATGAACTTGGACTTCATAAAAAATCACACCATCTTCCGAACGATTGAAATGTTGACCCGTGACGTGAGCAAGTAAATAATCGGAATATTCAGCTTCGTCACGAAAGAGTTGAAGATCTTCGCTTCCATCTCGAAATCCAATTGAACTTGATTGTCGAGTTGTTTCCACTTCTTTGCGTTTACGTAAAGATTGAGATGTAGAGGATCTTTCCGTAACAGAAGGTAGAGAGCCGTAACTATGTCGTCGTGAATTCTGTCTGTCTTCAATTACTATGCGAGGACTTCGATCACGTGCCAACAAATTGCGAGCAGATGAACTACAACGTTTAAGAAGTCGTGGAATTTTTCCAGATAAAAGAGTTTCGCGACTTTTTCTATGATGAATTGAAGCAAGAGGAAAGTGAGATTGTCGTAAAATCTCATCAAAAGAGCAAAAAGTTGACGTCGTCGAATGAAGAGGTGAATTGGAATCGTATGTGACGTCGCTTGGCCTCATAATGATAAAAATCACAAATGCTCACTACTCGACTACAAAGTCGAATGAGAAGTGCCAGTGATGCGACAGGTGGGAGGTGGGTGGGTAATCGCATATTTTCTCTAGCCATCAACTGGCCAGACAGACGATGACAAGGCTATTAATAAGAAAAATGTATTGTTGACACAGGGTGTTTCATAGCGTTGACAAGGCCAGTTTGAAAAAGAAAACATGAAGTCTACGATTCAAATGATACGGTCAGCTCACGTTTGGATTGTTGGATTCATTAGATGATGATTTGAAACGCTAGTGTTTGTTTGAAAAGATTTTCTGGTAAGAAATAAACGAACTTAGTTGATGAATCAAAGGTACCAGCCGTCTCGTTGCGCTCTAGACGTAACGGATACGAACACCAACGGATCTATAGCTTGATGTAATATCTATCTACTATACTCATGTCAAGTTGGACATGATGATTATGACAGCATTAGGAAACAGAGATCTGATCGTAGGAAAGGCAGGTTGGGTTACTGACCACTATATTTGTCTTTTGAAAGAAAAAAATCGTTTGTTTAACGTTTAGATTCAAAGTAGCCAGCAAACGCAATTGATAAATCATTTACTCGAACATCATATGTAGCCAGCCATCTACCCTGACCTCTGACCTGTTAGATTATTTTGGGTATGACGACTGTAAATGGGGGGTTACTGTAATGGGGTACGTACGTATTTTTGTGTCCGAGAACCTTATTATTTTGTACAATTGATACAATTATGTATACCATGTAACCTGCATATAGTATCAGATTAATTTAAGTTTATTCTAATGCTAACTAAGTTGCCATTTACTAGAAAAGATTCTGTTGAGAGTACGATAATCCAACTACCTAGTCGAGAAAAGACTGTATTCTCTGTAATAACTGAGCACAAGTTAATTGATTACCTGTACATCTGCGAGAGGTGAGGCGACTGAGTCGCGGTGCGCAGTGACGCATGATCTGTGCAGATCACAAACAGCTTTGAGCCAAGCAGGTACACCCTGAACTTGACAAGTGCATACTTCATAGTCCGAAGCGTCACAGACGACACTATACAACGATCGGGGTCTGACAACGCCAGTATTGGTGCATGAAGGAGGATGTTTTTGACCCTGTTAAAAGCCTTCCGATGCTCCATTCCGTATCCTTCTCAACAATGACCGTGCCATTTCCGCATATTTTGCGCTCTACTTGTGCAAGTAGTTGGCGAGGCCAAGCCACTTGCGCAAGTTCTTTTGGTTCTTTGGAACTGGTCAGTCCACAATGGCCTTAACCTTAGCGGGATCCACTCGAAGGCCACGATTCCCAATGAAGCACTTTAAAAAGCATTTTTCTCCGCGCCGAAGATGCACTTATCTGCATTAGCATACAACTTATTTGTGCGCAAGAAACCGAACATCGCTCTCAAACGGACGATGCGGTTTTCCTCATCTGTCTTCCCGTACCCCGCGCGACTGTGGACGAAGATGCCGACGAAGTATGTTTAACCGTACGCCCGGTGGGGCCTGAACAATTGCGTCACAAGACAGTTTAATGTTGCCGGTGATGCCTTGGGGAATCATAAGCCACTCCCAGAACATCCCGCTCGGAGTTCTCGCCTCTGTCAGCGGATAATCACTCGCTCTTATAAGCAATTGGTAATACCCATCGACCAAGTCGAGTGCGCTGTAATTTAAGTAGCCAGCCATATTGTTCGCTTTCTTGGGATTGGCGTCTCTGTCGGAATGGTGGCAGCGTTTAGCTTATTGCGAGCGAGAACGATACACAACTTGCCGTTCTGCTTCCGGACACAAAACGTGGGTGTTGAATGGGGAGACTTGCTCTCACGCACCTTTCCTGCGTTGGGTTTCGCACGGAAAAAAGCGTCAATGACATAACACTCCACCTTGGTCAGGGGCCATTAGCGTTTAATCAGTATTCGGCTCCCGAAACCAGGTCGATCTCATGACGCACACCTGGGTCCGGAGGTAGGACCGACGGCGGGTCTTTGGAGACGACGTCTTGAACCAAAAGATAGTACGACTCCGAAAGATTCTTCAGGATCGACAATCAACTTTGTGCGTTCAGCACCCTCTTAGTGTCCTCCAGGACAGCTTCATTCAGAAGCGACGACAAGCCAATGTCTATAATAGCTCGTTTAAGTCGCCTGCCTTCAAGGCCTTGCCGAACTCGTCGAAGGACATCGCATCCAGCTCAGAAGAACATCCACCGCGGGTTGGCCTCGAGGGTGACATCGCCGTCTTCTTCTCCCGTCGTATCGCTGACAAGGGTATATAGCTGTGCGCTATCGTCTACATTAGACACACCCTGGTTCAGTGTCGACGCCCTGCGTCTTGCAGATAACATATGGCATCGCCGTCTCCTCTTTATAGGGAGTTTACGGCTCATCGAGACAAGTGCGAACACGCACTCAGCGTCATCACTCCCTGCTCCATCGGAGCCTTGATGTTCTTAACAACATCCGACGAAGAGCTGCTATCTCCCAGTCTTCGTCCAGTGCGTAACATGCTACTCCACGCGCATCTGAAGGGCCTTGCCCAAGATGCCTCGGACCTCGTCCGACCATGCCACTCTTGGCATGCAGCAACTACTTTGAAGCGTGAGCAGTGCTCAGTGGATTACGTACCACTCCACGCGCATCGCTAGGGCCTCGCCCTCGTTGCCTCGGATTTCGTTCGACTGCCTCTTGGTATGCAGCAACTGCTTTGAAACGTGAGCGATTACATGCCACTCCACGTTCAGCCCGCGAGTCATGCTCGGGACTCTTGTCCAATACACCATCGGTGTTCGACATCTCGGATACTCCGATGTCCGGCACATTGGCCGTCCTGGTCTAGTGCTCGCGTCAATAGCGCTTCTGCTTCCTAGCAGAGGTGGGTTCATGACTCGCCAAAGCTCCACCAGGAGACGTGCGCCTAGCATCCAAGGTCTTCAACCTCCAATCGATCCATGACTCATGGTGTTCCAACCATGCATTACCAAGGATCAGATCATGCCTTGAATCCAAGTCTTAGACTAAGCAGCATTTAACGCTATCGAAGTAATGAAACTTGACACCGAGGTCCACAGGAGCCCTCGGCACAGTGACGGTGTCACTCAACCGCGCTTTCAGCATCTCAGGATACAGCTGACTTCCTTCAAACGTGTAGCGTCGGGCATAATATTATGCCCGACGCGCCGAAATCAAGCTCTTTTCGGTCGCTTTTACGATCAGCAAGCCCGGCTTGCATACATGTTCCGTGTTCAAGAGCACGGAGCTCTTTGGGGCTGGGCCCTGCTGCCTGCTACCTCATTGAGGCTCAGCACATGCTTTCACACAATTTTATTTGTGAGTGATGTCGCTTAGTGTTCCGATATTCTCGACATGTTGTGTGACAATCACAACCATGTCTTTTGGTAGGAAGACACTATATCTCTTGATAAAATCATTTTCTCGATGACAATTGCGGCTATTTCTCGCCCACCCAGCCCATTGTTCTCGGACTATTTGTATGCAGCGCACGGTCGGCCAAAAACAACAATATACCTCAGAACCGAAACCTTGTTTGTCGAATCCTCTATTGACGGAACTTATTTCGGTCTCTTCACGTGCGTCTCCTATTCATGATGTTTGTCACGCTAACACATCAACGGTAAATCACAAGCAACAACCATTAAAAGCATAAAACCTCTTTCATTACTTACTTGATCACTGTTCTCACTCACCTGTCACTAAGTGCAGGTGGATTTGCAAACATGTCAAATGTCTTGCATTTAGCATGTTCATTGATACATAAAACGTGAATCCTGCCATTAGAATCTGTTTGGCGGCCACCAAACAGTGTTGAAAGAAATTGTTGGCCACCGCGTATTTAGTCTCGGCCAGAAAGTAATCAGACTGATGATCGATAAAATTAGTCATTTATGGTTTTAAGTTGGTCTCTTAGTGTCGTTGAGCCCTTCAAGCTGGAGCAACAATGCCTTTAACTAGGATATTCTGTCCGGAGATTTGCCTTGTACGTCTATGTAGCGTACATATGCGTCAATTAATTTTCACGTATTTTACCCATGAGCTACAGTTCTGATGCGGGGGTTTATGATATTTGGTGTTCGTGTTGGAACACCCAAACCCGAGACACCTGCACAAACTATAAAAATATCACATTGTATGTCCGGGTCTGTGGAATTACTATCACCAGACTTTTCCAGACTGCCTATCCTGAGAAACAAACCGCCTACAAATATTCCATTTTTCTATATTTTAAGCCTTCATATCTCTTAAAGGTGGCAAGTCTCGTTCTTTGTATTTCCAACCGAGTTTTTCATGTAACCGCTCGCCAGATCGCGACCAGGGTGACGACCCTCAAATCCAATCCCCGCAGATTGAGCAAAATGTGCTAAGTTTAGCGTGCCAAACAAAATCTATACAGCGCACATTCAATATAGATCACATTGGTAATCTCATGCTCGAATCCGCAGTCTGATTGATATTATGAGAGCTCAAACCTTCTTCTCCTCCATAAGCATAGCTGACTGCGATCATATGTAAAAAGCGTCTCGTCTGTCTGCGATGGGCCCGTTTCAGTGCTGTGGGCAATTTATGCTTTGAGTTGAGATTAATTTGTTTGGTAAATTCTGCCACAGACATTACATGCTCCAAAGACGAGGTTTCGAACCACTACGACTTAACATGGCAGTACTATTATTGTTGTGCCGTTCCGGTCAAATTTCGATTGAATTTTTTGAGTGAATTCCCTCGCTCCATGCAAATCGTGAAACCCTAACTGCAAATCGAGCTTGTAGAACCAACTCTTTGTCTCGCTCCATGAAGCCACATTTAAGTCTATGTTCCATCAAAATACATTAATTTCGATTTTTGTTGTCGTGCATCTTGACACCATAAATTGATTCCCACACTCGGTCTTGCACCTTGGGCTCCGTACGACACTCTTTCGGCAATCTCGCCGTTGCTCTCTGAATAGGCATTATCACATGGTGTGACAATCATTTAGCACCAAAATTTCTCGCAGGTGACGTTTAAAGCTACAGGGTGCGATTGAATGCCCGAACATTTATCCTATGACTCCACATAAGGTGGGCTCAAAAACGATGTATTCGACTGAGTCTTTTCGCTATTGATTGTACGACTCCTCCAAACTCCTAATGCTTTCAGTGAAATTTGTGAGAGACTCGAGTCACTTATCTTCACTATTTAACTCGGATACTTCTGCTCTCCTTCAAGGCGGTCGTCATACCAAGATTGCTAAATACTTGATTTTCTCCAACTTATTTCACGGAAACCTTGTTGTCGGTGTTAGATTCTGCTGAAGTTCCCCCTGTAGGAGAAGGTAAAAGCAGAAGTGAATATGTAAAGTCAGCCATATCTTCTTTGCATGGTCTTCATGCTATAAACAGATAAAAAAGTCTCCTTACCGCTGGACGCCTGATGACTTTGTCCCAGCTTTCGGCATGGATTCTGGACCGTTACTTGGCCTGTGCGTAGAATCCCATTCCAGGCGAAATGGCCTCTAGCGAATTTTTGGGCCTATCACAACCGGCTGTCCCTCTCTCAGATTGTGCCCTTTCTAACAGGGACGTGTGTTGAAGTGGCGCCGCGTAATGAGAGCTGGGAGAGTCAAGGACTCATCGATTGATGACGTGAAGGTGATCAATGGTCTGGTGGGCGCGTGGGGCACGCGCATGAGCTCGGCGAAGATAGGTAGCTGACTCGACGAATGATGCCTTGGATCGGAGATTCACGCATGGCAAGATCTGATTGGGAGACAATGGAGTGAGTGCTGGATGTGATTGGATCACACCCAAAACTCCCCCCGCAGCCTTTCATCTTGTCGAGGCGTCGCAGGGAGAAGCTCGAGGGCGGCTGCTGCAGAGGCAAAGGGAAGAAGAAGGGCGCACAGGAAGGTAGCTACGGACATGTAGGAAGGGTAGATTGTGTAGCTGCCAACTGATACACTTCGGCATTTACCCTCCACTACTCAACAGGTTAACAGCTGCACAAGACTCTCAAGCTACAAGACGCCGGCTCGATGTCGACGAAGAAGGCCGAAGTTCTCTGGGAAGCGACAACTACTTCCACTGGGAGTTCGCCATGCGCATGACGCTGGCAAGGAAGGGACTGCTGGCTCATGTGCAGACGGTGAAGCCGAAAGTAGAGGTGACGGAGGCGTGGCTGCTAAACGGCATGTAGGTACTCGGTTTAATCGCCCAGGTTGTGTCGTTGGAGCACCAGACCTCGGCGATTAAAGCGTGGGTAACTCTGCAGGAGTTCTACAACCGGACCACGATGCACAACCGTGTGATGATGACTCGCCGACTCCATGACTTTAAGATGGAGGAAGGGACGATGATGGCGAAGCACCTCCACAAATTCGACGAGCTCATCGTGGGTTTCCAATCGCTCGGCGAGCCACTGGACGATGCTAGTCAGTTGGTTATATTGCTGAGCAGCCTGTCCAGCGAGTTCGAGTTAATTTCGTCGATTATCGAGAACTCTAAGGACATCACGCTGATCGAGGTGAAGGAGAAGTTGCTCGAGGAGTACAAGCGACTGGAAAAGAAGATAATGTCAGAGCGCGCGATGAAGGTCACCTCGGATGGTGGCAGGGGCAAGAACGGCAAGTTTGTCAAACGCGACAGAAACAACGACCGCAAGAGCAACGGCGCGAAGAAGAATGGCAAATTCTGGGGCAACTGCTTTAGTTGTGACCAGGTCGGACACATGAAGCGGGACTGCCCGAACAAGGTCACCAGTGCCATGGCTGATACTGCACTCGATGTTGGCAAGGATTGACAATGGTGCGACGTCGCACATGATGCCGTACCGGGACGACCTCTTTGGGTATGAGGTCGTGAACACGAACATCGAGGTGACCATCGCTGATGGTAAGAAGCTGCGCGTGGCGGAAACGGGTCGGTGCGCTTGTAGGGCATTGACAGCAAGCGCATCCGGATGATGGAGGTACTCCACATTCTTGGCCTCGATCGCCGACTGCTGTCGGTGAAGAAGTTGGCAGGACGCGGGTTGAGCGTCGAGTTCCAACGGGATTCGTGTGTTATCTGGGGCAAGTCGAGTGCGATGCCTCGGGAAATAGACTCGGCAAGGCCTACGTGTTGGACTGTTAGCAGAAAAATGGCGCGATTCGTCGAGTACAAGGGGTCAGTGAATCAGTGGAAGCTGTGGCATGCTCGCATGGGGCACCACATTGAGGACGCGTATGCAAAGACGCAGCGCGCAACAACTGGGATGCCAGTTGTCAAGCAAGAGGTCAAGACTTTATGCGGTGGCTACATGACGGGAAAGCAGACGGTGGCGCATTTTCCGTT